ACATTACATTCGCGTATAAGTAATATGTTTAAGTTTATTATGAACGTACCTGCAACCTCGGGCTGCAGAACATTTTGCAATGCTACATCCTTCCAGGTACGCAGAGACACGCCATCTCGGAAGAGGAAGGGAAGGAGATGGAAATTATAGTACAGAACCATGATTAAAATAATAAATTTTGGAGATACGAGTAGAAATGCTTTTAGACCAAATTAGTATTGCATCAAGGACGACCGCATATGTCGGGCTGCAAAGGACGATATCTTGAATTATATATAAATATCAGACTGAGCGTAATGTCCCGGCGTATGTCGTTCGAGTAAGGAGATTTTCGAAAGAAGGAGGTGAGATTTTACTAGGGTGACGTTCGTTAGGTTCGTCTCTGGGCAACGTTCCAATTCGATCTCACGGTCCGTTTCATTCTCGTGAACTGCAGACATATACATATTAGACAGACAAAGAATTATACATCAGAAATTTTTCGATATTCTAGAAAATTTTTTTAGCGCAGTAGAATATTTATCGATAATTCAATCATTTTCTTGTTATTTCAAACCTTATCTTTAATTTTTTGAAAAGGAAAAAGCAACAAATTAATTTTGCAAACACAAACGGTTAATGTAAGTCTGCTAAATTCTGCAATATATCCATTAAAATTAATTATAACAAATAAAAATAAAAATTATCAATCATCACAGGAACCAAATAAATTAAATAATTAAATAAAAGATTTGCATCTATCTTTTTTATATATATTAAATGTATTAAATGTAAAAAATGAATAAATATTCATATTATTTTCTTAAAAGAATTAAGTTTTAATAATAAATAAAAACATGCAAATGTTATTTAGCAAAATCAAATCTTTGATTAAATCATTTAATAAAGTATCGTAGATAATAAATATTATTAATAATTAAATAAGATTTAAGAAATTCATTCTCATTAATTAAAACTTCATTAAATACATAGATTTACATAGTTATGTATTGGAATTATGTTATTTTATTTCTGCTCCCGGTATATTTTTAATTTCCCACATAGTGTATCCAGAATGTAATTATATGTGATAAGAACACGTATTATTGCGCGTTATTACGCTCTAAAAGGCAAATGTAAATGTACGACAAAATGAGAAACGGGAAAAATGTCTCGCGTGTATATGCGACATCATATTGCAGTGCAAATAACATTCAGTTCTTTATGCATCTTATGTGCTGACGTATGTCCCCTCCCAGTGGATCAAATCTCTATGTAGCTTCTCGTTGAAGAATAAATGTATTTTCCAAGGCTTTCACGTGTTCTCCAGCTCTTCCGTCTGAGAGAATTGGCACGTAGAGCGCAGTATGCGATTTCGGATTATCATAATGTCGGCTGTCAAGCTTGTATATGCTTTTTCGCGAATTTGATCTTTTCCATCTTTTTTCTCTTCTGTCACCAGGACGCGCTTTAAGCTCCATTGAAAAGTTTCAGGCAACGGATTTTCCAGATGTTCTGCGTTACATCTTTTTATTAAGAGATCCCCCTTCGCGCTACATGTAATTGGCATTCGATTAGGGTCGAGTCCATAGACTTAGACTTTTGTTTGCCTTTGACTTATATATATATAATTGTTTCTCAGATTACAACAAAAGTGATGTGGAGTTTGTCACATGTCATTTTATTTCGAATTTATAAGCTATATATTACAACGAAATATTAAGTGTATTTATGGCTATAATATCTGCAGTCAAAACAAATAACGGTTAAACGAGAGTAAAACATTAGTATTTACGGAAATATATTTATCTGATATACTTCGAACATTTATATTTCCACGAAATAATAGATGTTGGTAGTTTATAAGCGACAGGAAATATTGATAGTCAAACGATTTCTCAAGAGGGATGATTCTGTATAGAACGTTAAGTTCATATTTTTTTGATATTTCTCACCTTTGTCAAGACAGTACGCAGGCGATATTATCAAGACTCCATTTTTTGCGTACGCATTTCGCATGAGGAAAATTGGAAAACGTTCGCTAACAGGAGTCGAGAAATATTCCTTTCTTTCGCGCGACATCCTGGGAGAGAAAGCTGTGGAAGTTTCAAAAGCGACAGTCGTATCGCTGCATCCGCGCGATGTGAAAAATGACATCAAGTTCAAAAGCTCCCTAAATAAGAAATCATTCCCGGAGGCACGCGATCGCATTATTCACTCGTCCGAAAACTCTAAAGTGAAATACCCGCGTCGGAGACCCGCGAGATTCTCGATCATCAATTTTAACGTCATGGCAGACAAAAAACGCGAAACACCCCGGCAGCGACGAGAAGAAGGAGGAGCAGGAGGAGACGTGGGAGACGATGCGATCTTGTCGGATGATCTGTTTCGCGAGGACGCGCGATAATCCGCGGCGGTCGCCGGTTTGTTAGAACGACGGAAATCGCGGGGGAATGACGAATGGCTGGGGGAAGACAAATTTTCTCATAGGGTAGATAACGTCGAGAGTCATTTTTTTCTGTGCACAAATTGTTTTGCGTCGAGAAAAGATTTCAGATGGCGGGGTCTATGTTGGCGAGAAGAGGAAGACGTTTTTAAGATAAATGAATCTTAAAAAGACAATTAGATCATTCTGGAATAAAGATGTGACATTGCGTCAATTCAGATTTTTCGAAATTTATCACTTGCATCCCTTTATACGTGTCCAAACCTCTCGAATCGTAAATGATGACTTTACGATGAAAAGAATATATGAGAAAGCTTTCGAACGTTGTTACAACGCATTTACTCCGGATGCTGGTTCGTGCCGCTCCAATTTCCGCAACCACCTAGCGAGGACGAATTTTTTTCGCACACCCCGGTGACGGGGTGGAAAGTACGGGCGCGCGGAGGATAAAAAGGTGAAAAGGAGGCGGAGTAATTTGATATGGTGGGCCAGAGTACAGAGGCACTCGCCCTTTTTTTCCTAATTTGAAGAAGGGCGAGTATCCGCGAAATGAAAAGCGCCGGGGCCCTTTGTAGATACGTGCGTACGCGCCCTACGCAAGCTCGCGCGTGTGCGTGCACGTGCGTGTGCCAGGATTAAAGCGATGAAAGAGAAACTCTTTATCCTCACAGCGTGAGCAGCATGCTCGATCGGGCACCAGAGATATTTTTAATACGCTCATTTAAACGTTATAGCGACATTAGACATCTAACAAAAATTATATATGCAATGGACAATTTGCGCTTCTTTTATCATGAAAATTTATCTAATATTTATAAGATTTATATAAATATATTTATATAAGTCTTATATGATTAATAAAAGTATTGCTCTTTTAGTAAAGTTTTTTGAAAAAAGCACATTAAATTAAATGTAAATAATTTAATTATCATACACTATAATAGAAAATTTTCTTTATGTGTTTCATAAACACAGAAATATCAACTTTGATAAACGAAGAAATTGAAATTTTTCTACTGTGTGCATAATTTTTAAATTGTTTGTTTGAGTTTTACTTCAAAGTTCAAATGTTTATCTCATGATCTATATTTTTTATTTCCATATTAATAAACTTTTATATTAAAAATAAAAAACCTCTAACATATCCAAATAAAAGATTTAAATCTAGATTTTATAATAAGTCCAAGAAAATATAAGATCACAAATTAATTATAATAATATCATTAAAAAAATGATAAAATGCAGAATAAAACGAGAATTGTTTTCTTATGTAATTTTTATGACCGATCGATGAAGATATTTCTGGTTATCCCTTCTTTTGTATGCGAAAATGGTGCACGGTACAGAGTGACATTTCGAACGATAGTACTTTGAGTTAAGTAGAACTTTTGCGTGACGTGACATATTATTTATGATATTGATTAAGCAAAAATTGTGTTCGCGTTTTTGTGGTAAGAAAATAAGGTTACTTCGAAAAAAAAACTTTGTAAAATACGTCATTTTGTTTCTTATTCTTTTTATCAATCCTCTGCAATCTCCTTGTAAAATTTCTTAGGAAAATAACGCGAATTATATGTATTTTTACAATATAGAATACAATATACACAATCAATCTGTATTTTACTATTGTAGTTTAAACATAATTTTGTCTTACAAAAATATAAAAATCTTGAGAACAATATCCGTATATAAAAGAATAAGAAACTTGAAGAATTCCTCGATAAATATGAAAAATCGCATTAAAAAATAAAATTATTATCCACATAAAACCTTATTAAACCGCGTGAACGAAACAATACATGCTGTGTGAATTTTGCGACGACCATCGTGTTACGATATGCTAATATTTGCATTGTGAAACTTACGAGAGGGCGAAAATCCTCGTTGTTGAAAGATTGCAAGTGGAAGAAACCGAGGTAGCATATCACGCTAGCAAGCGAAAGACTCGATTGCGCGAGCCTAAAGAAACTTCCGAAGAATGAGATCGTACCTGCCACTGCGCGAAGGATAGATATCGCGTGCGATGTCAGTCGCTTTCAGCATATTCCGTGCGTCCCATGACAATAGGGGGCCAACAAACGAGCAAGCTTCGACTCAGGAGACACGATCGTCCAATACCAAGCTGTTTTTCGCTGGTTCAGTCCGTACCTGGTTTCCTGACCCGCTTGCACGACAACTATTTAACGAACATAATACTGCGGTGTCAGCAGAATTTCGCATTTATCGTCTCTCTTCGTAAAAAGCTTACGAAGAGCATCGCTTTCTAAATTCTTGATATGGAGTTGGTCGATCATTCGTCTTTCAAGTTCTGATATCGCGCGATTCAAAATTTAAATAACTTAGTTAGTTGCCTTTATTATAATTATTAATATATTTAATGATTGAATAATTGATAAATGTAATTGGATATAGATAAAGATATATAACATATATATAAAATGTATAAAAAATATATTCTAATATATAACATACTTTTTTCTAAATAAGTATTACTTTTATTATTTACTAAAAAAGAAATTGCAAGATTTATATCTTGATTTGTCGAAAAGAAAATACATTTCGTGATATTGTAGAAATGACTACTCCGGATGCACCACCGGATTTTCGACTCGAATATATCGGAAGTTTTGTGCAAAAAAGTCTGAAATTAAAACCAGAAAAATGGGGAAGATTATTACTGACGGAAGAGTATCGAAATGTGGTGCTAGACTTTTTGGACAAGCCATTACCAATCGCTCTTTTTGTCGTTCTAACATCGAACGCACAATTAGTGGCATCGTCTAATTTTCCCATACCGTACCAGAGAACAAAAGGTGAGTTACTTTTCACCATTATTGTAATTTTTTTGTAATAAATCGTAGAAATATCAATATATTTTAATGATAAATAAGAATTTGATTTCGTAGAAGCTTTTTGTATAAGAACTACTGTTTAATAATATTTTTATTATATATTACTGCAAATAAAACAATGTTGTAATTATTTAGTATTGAGTAAATCGTTGCGATAATATTTACTTTTAAATAAAGAATACATAGAAAAATTTACATTATCAATGCAGGAGTTTATGCCGTTAAGGTAAAGCAAGCACCGCTACCAAAAGACAAAGAGGGATGTTCGACCATGTTAATCGTCGGAGATCTATCGCATCGGATTGTCGATCAATTGGCTACGTTAGTCGATAATATATTCGCTCCTCTTCTTACTAAGCCTGAAAATCATAAGGACTTGCCGGAAATAGCAATTCAAGACATATGTAAGCATGTACACGCTCTTCGTGGTACGTTATATCAGGTAATAAAGCAATTGATTAAATTTTTTGCGCTGATAAAACGTTTAATGAGACATATATATAATGATATTTATTACGCTCAAATGCAGGTGAAAGGTCAAGTAAACGGAAGAACGGTGTTACCTATGCCAGCGGGTCTCGAAAAGGTGACAGAGGTCGAAAGATTGGTTTCCGCAGAAGGTCCACAGGCAGTTGATCTGTATCTGAAAAGTGCTATAGAGGGTGTCGTGATAAAGTGGGCTTATTTAGTAAATGACGTGGTCACTCATGAATCTGGCGTCGCGTTCGAAAATGGCCAAAATCCAACGCCCAATATCGAGCTGGAATATTGGTCTACTAGATTGGCAAATTTGAGGTATTTAAATTATATAATTAATGTAATATAATATAATATAAAAAATATATATATATATATTTTTTTTAATAAGACATCTTTAAATAAGGCATTTTCTTTCTTTTTACTGAATGCGTTCTGTAAGAATACCTATCTATGTTCACATATATTTTTATAGATATATTTACGATCAATTGCAAGAGGACCGGGTGAAAAAGATGGCGACGATTCTCGAAAAAACCGACAGCGCATACTTTCCCTGCTTCCGTACATTGTTCGATAATGTTGTTTCTTCATTAGCCGAGGCAAAAGAGATATCGTTGTATTTGATGCCTTTAGCGAAGTGTTTCAAGTCTGTAGAGGAGATTGATTTCGCCGAGGCTAAACCGCTGATGGCAACATTAATACATTCGCTCGGATTAGCATGGGCGAAATGCAAAAGTTATCAGAGTTCTAGCAAGCTCATCATCATGCTTCGGCAGATATGTAATCTATTAATACAAGAAGCACGTCGATTTCTCGATCCAACATCAATATTTCAAAGCGACGTGGACGAAGCTCTTCAACGCGTTAAAATATCAAGAGGCAAAATATCAATATTAATTTCAATCTACTAAGAAATTATTATTGGCAATATAATTATGTTTACTATTAATAATTACTCATTAATTGTGTCATTTTATGATTGTACTGAATAATTTATCCTTTCGCGCTATAGACTTGCAAATTGGTCGCAATTAATCATCAATTTAATTTATTAATGATAGATGAAAGAGTTTAATACAATGGCTTTTGTTATGATATTATTGATTAAATATAATAAAATTTTAATATTATGTATATACATATACATATCGCGCAAAAGAGACGACAAAAAATATATCGCATCTTCTAATTTATTTTTCATTTCTAATTTTACTTGAAACTCAAAAAATCAATTTACATGTAAATCTTTTTCAATTAGGAGTCTTGGAAGAATTCAAAAGACAATTCGAATTGAGAAAGAATATGCCTGGCTTGAAACTGGAAGCACCACCTTGGACATTTAATTCGACCGCCGTCTTCACTCGTCTTGATGCTTTTTTGAAACGGCTGGCGGATATCGAATGGCTCTTCGATACCGTCCTTGAATTTTCCAAGTTAGAGAAGATTGAAATAGGCGGCATTCTCGGACGGTCCTTGAGCGCGAGAATCATAAGTGTATTTAAAGAATTCCAACAACTTTTCGTTTCCTTCACTGTGAGAGCCAGCGACGTTCTTGAGCCAGACGACGAGTCCTTCGTCGTCGATTGTACGAAATTCGCAGAGTCCATCTCGGATCTTGACAGCAAGTTGGCGTCGATTTTATGTCAAGCTTTCGACGATTGTGGCAATCTCGAAAGCGTTTTCAAGGTGTAATTTATTCCTTCTCTTAGTTTGTATTTCGTAAATCAAGATGCAATAAATGCTTACTTTTATCTTTCAGTTGATAAATATCGCTGGATCGGTTCTGGAGCGTCCTGTCATACGAAAGCAATTCACTAATCGATATGCTAGGATCCTCGAGCTTTTGAACATGGAACTCTCGGTGGTGGAAGTATTGTTTAATCGCGGCACCAGAGGTGCTCTGATTGATCTGCCACCTTTAGCCGCTTCTTTAACGTTCACAAGCATGTTGAAACAGCGTATCGATTTACCTATACAATCGTTTAAAGCCATGTCACATCCGTACGTATTAAAATGCATCCAATTTTTTTCTTGAGATTTTATTTTCTTTTTGTTCTATTTGACAAATTGTTTTGTCAACGATTTTATATGAAGAAAATTATCTAAATCTTTATTGAAGAAAAAATAACATATATCTCCGTGATAATTTCTTGACAAACATGATAAATATCACATTATAAATATGATAAACATATTTATTCCATTATGTGTTAATAGCATCATGCATGGCGACGAAGGTAAGAATATAATAGCACGTTACGAAAGACTGATAAAAATATTTGCTGATAAGGAAAACGATCTCTTCATTGAATGGGCACAAACAGTACCGCAAAATGTTGATATTGGCCTTAATCGTCATCTGCTTTATAGAGAAAGCCATAATATTTTATTGTTAAATTTTGACCCCGATCTCCTCGCCGTATTAAAAGAAGTAAACTACTTGAAACAGATGTCACGTTCTGATATTCCCTTAGAAGCAATTAAGGTATAATATAATCTGAAATACGTACTTTACCTTTAACACATTTTTTAACACATTTTTATATTAAAAGAATGTTCAGTTACGGAATTTTGCTAGACATTAAATTATTCATTTTATATTATAATGTCAGGTATCTGAAAGTGCAGAGACATTTAGGAAATTTCGCACGATGCTAAGTAGCACAGTCGATTCATACAACAACATACGTAAAACAACCAAACCTGTAGAATTTGACTTAATTAAATTGGAAGTGGCGCATATCGATTCCTTGATATTCCGTGGAGAAAACGAATTATGCTGGAGATCAGACGGGCTTCTGGAATATATAACAGAATTGGGCGATTTTGTGGAAGGACTGTGGAAACGCATGAAGACCGCCCAATCGAACGTAGAGAAGATCAAAAACATTTTGGAACCTTGGACGAAGACGCCCCTCATAGAACGAAAGGATAATCGTAAGGATACGCTGCTTGCTCTGGAAGATCGTTCGGAAAAAGTATCGAAACGTTACGCGGAGATCGCAAAAGCATCCGAGCAAATACATTCGATATTGAAGGAAAATGAATTGCTTTTTCAAATTAGTGAGATCGGACAGGAAGTTTGGCAAGAGTATGTGAAATATATTGACGACATAGTGATCGAGTCTCTTCGAAAAGCAGTTGGATGCTCTTTAGGTTAATGTCTTAGAATTAAGAAAAAATTATATTCAATGGCATGAAAAATTTAATTAAAATTTCTTACTTAACTATTAATCTTTAATTTATGCAATATGTACAATTATAAAAAAATAATAAAGCTTTGGACATCTTTTTATCATGTTTAGGCTACTTGGCAGAAAGTATGGATCCAATCGGACAATGCGAACCATTGCTTGAAGCAAAATTGGAGCTCAGGGAACCAGATCTATATTATATGCCATCATTGGAACCCGAAGATCCAGATGGACTTGATCAGTTGATTCTTGGCGTGTTAAATGATATTACCGGTATGGCAGGCTTGATATCTCGATTGAAAAGTGATTCTGTAGGATACGCTGAAGAACTGGCGTGTGATGATGATATTAAGGGAATGAGAGATGAAATACTAACAAGTGTAGCTACTGCTGTAGAAGAAGCTACTGATTTCTGTAGTAATTTCGAAGGTATGTGATTCTCATAAATAATAATATTATAATAGGCTAAATATATTTATATATACACACATGATAATTTTTAGTCATTAAGTGATATCTTAATACAAATTACATATTTAGAATAATCTATTATATTTATAATAATCTAATTTATGCATAAGTTAAATATAAACTCAAGAATTAATACTCAATTTAAAAAAAATAAGTGCAAAATAAAAGTATTTTTTAAAACTTAATTAGAATTTTTAAAATTTAATTATATTTTTAAAAATTTTCTAATACATATTTAAAAAGCGTATTAATATACACATAAAATATATCATTATAAATAATTAAATTGCTATTATTAGTTAAATAATTAATTTGCTATTATTATGATTATATAGTAATAGTAAATGGATAAAGAGAAAGCTCTTTAGATATTTAAATACTCTATTATATTAACAATGTTTCACATATCTAACAATGTTTCGATTAGGCTACGCTTATCTATGGCTAGATGATAGGGGTGTTGTGATGCAACAATTCCTCGAATACAGCCGACAATTGTCAGCAGAGGAAATGGACATGGTGGCAGCTCAGGACCCTAAAGGTCCGACGAAGTCACCACCGAAAATGGAGCAATTCCGCGAACAAATCGACCTTTACGAGGGGCTCTATCTCGAGATCGAGGAAATGGATCTGTCCAAAGTATTTTGCGGCTGGTTCAGAGTAGATCTAAAACCCTTCAGACAGTCAGTACTGAACACGGTGTGCAAGTGGTCGAGTATGTTCAAAAAACATTTGGTCGATCGTGTAACAAGCAGTCTCTCAGATTTGGGAATATTTATAAGGTATATTTATATAAAATATTTAATATAAATTTTTTTTATCATGTGATAGTAAAATTTCGAATAAAATATCATTTTTAACATATATATAGTTCCTCTAAATTTTATATTATTCTATTTCTTATATAAAGACTGTGTATGCATAATGGCTTTTTAATAAATATTTTACCTTTATAAATATATTTTATAATTTCTAGACGAGCGGACGAGGGATTGTTACAACAAGTGCAACCGGGTGACTATGCTGCTCTGGTTAGTGTAATGGGCTATCTATTACAAGTAAAAGAACGTCAGCCAACTACGGACGAGATGTTCCATCCGTTAGAGGAGACCATTGAGTTGCTCAAGTTCTACGATCAAGATATACCCGAAGAAGTAAACGTATTACTACAAGAGTTGCCACAGCAATGGGCAAACACGAAAAAACTTGCTCTTATGGTGAAGCAGCAAGTTGCGCCATTACAGGCAGGTTTGTAGAATAATATTTATATGATAATTAAGTTGATGTTTCTGTCAATTTATCATTTTATCTATTTTTAATTATAAATATAATAAAAAAATTAATATATGTTATTAATATATAATGTTAAATATTAAATATATATTTGAATATCTTTTGGAAATTATATAGTAATGTATTCTATAATATTTTTAATTAAATATGGTAATAATATATCAAATATATCAGGTGAAGTATCAAGAATTCGTGGTCGAATCTCCGCATTTGATATTACAATAAATCAGTATCGAGAAGCATTTCGACGATACACATTTTTCAAGTATGACTGCAAAAATCCGTACGAACTATTAGATGAGGCGCATAAAGAGATTCTCATGTTGGAACGTCAAATGAAGGATATACAAGAATCTGCCTCGTTGTTCGAAGTAATGGTACCCGAATTTAAACAGCTGAGGCAGTGCAGGAGAGAGCTGAAAATGCTTAAGCAGCTCTGGGATTATGTAAATATAGTGCAGAGTAGTATCGAGGGTTGGAAGACGACACCCTGGAGGAAAATTGACGTGGAGAATATGGACATCGAGTGCAAGAAGTTTGCGAAGGAGATACGTGGTTAGTAGCTAAGAAATTGTCTACGGTCCCAAAGGATTTTATCGAATAGCACAGTTTTATGTACTGAATATATATTTCTATAAATTATTGTCATTTTCTTCTTGCGTTATTTTCCTTATTATCATGCAACTTCATTTATGCACAAAATATAAATATATTTTATATACTTTGTGTTAATTTTAATTAAATTTTTTTTTTATCCTTTGTTAAATATATTTTACATACTTATTTATGTAAAATAAATTATATATTACTATTAATAAATATTATGTAAAATCTCTTTCGTATGATTTTTTTTCTGGAAAGATATAATATCGAAATAATTTGATTTATTTAATCATCGGTTACATTTCGTCTAGCAGCGCTGGATAAAGAAATGAGGCCATGGGATACGTATATATCGTTAGAGGCGACGGTAAAGAACATGCTTACATCATTGCGCGCCGTGGGAGAATTGCAAAATCCAGCTATTCGAGAAAGACATTGGCGACAGCTGATGAATAGTACTAAGGTATCGCTGGAAATCGCAGAGCGGATGTATCATCCATTTTCTTACGATACAAACTCATGCAAATTAGGGGACATATTTAATGTCATTAGTTAAAAAATACGAATTTATCTAGTTCTTTCTTAATTTTTCATACTTCAATGGTTCGATTGTTACTTGATGTTCGCTTTAAATGAAACTCCCCTTTCTACGAAATTGTATATAAAAATCCCATGATGCTAATCAAATGTGTAAATCACGTCAGTATTAGATTTAGTTGCACCGCTGTATATACGCTATCGATGTTACAGAAATTGGGCAACATGACTCCAGAAATGACCGTAAGTCTGCTGTATATATGCGTACATTTAAAAATTTTCTATATTTGTAGCATATTTTATTAATCGAAGTAAAATTCTAAATTTTAATAGAGATAAATTAAAGCACGAAATTGATTTTTCAATATACGCTTTTCTTCTCTTATAAAAGCGCACTGGTTTCATATTTTTTAATTTTTCATGAATGCGCACTATTATATATTGCATTTTTTTGCATCCAATTTATATATTATAAAATATCTTAGATATAAGCATGACTGAAATAATAGTATGCAACACTGGCTGATAAATTTTTAATTCACAAGACTTATATTCATAAACTTATTTAGCGCTAAACGTATCTGTTTAATGCTAATTTTCTAAACGTTATATTTCAAATTTCATATTTAATGATAGAATGAGGCTAAGAATAATCACACACATTCAGTTACACACTAATAATCCACCTATTTATAGTTTGTCATTATTGTTTCATTATATAAGTTCTTATAGTTATATAAATTCTTATAGTTTCTCATTATTCATTCATTGTATAAATCATTGTATAATTTTTTTAATAAATTTGCTACAAATACAAGATATCACATATGTATTTCATATTATTTAGCAACTTCCTATGCCATTCTAGATTTATTGTATGAGCTAAAGAAAAGGATACGATCAATATAGTCTTGCTTTTTGTATCTATATCGTCAGATGATTTTTTTATATAGGTTCGTTTCGTAATGGACGAATCAACAACTTTAGCTGATCTACTCGAATTGAATCTCCATGAATGCGAAGATGAAGTTAAAAATATCGTTGACAAAGCTGTTAAGGAAATGTCTATGGAGAAATACATGAAAGAACTAAATGTTACATGGTCGAAAATGGAATTCGAGCGAGAAGTTCATGCTCGGACAGGAGCTACTTTAATCAGAGCTAGCGAAGAATTGATCGAAACTCTAGAAGAAAATCAGGTTAATTAAATAATGAAAAATATTCATATTCTCGCTCAAAATATCATAAAAAATAAAAAATAAAGAACCAATTACTAATTATTTAATTTTTTTTAATACTTAACTTTAAATCTATTATTTTTTAAACATATCTTATTAAAATAATTTTGCTGAAACATATAAAAATATTATTTTTCTGATATTTAAAGGTCATTTTTCTTTGAATCGCAGGTACAATTACAAAATCTAATTACCTCGAAATTTATCGCGCATTTTCTGGAAGAGGTGTCATCATGGCAGAAGAAATTGAGCATTGCTGATCAAGTGACGACTGTATGGTTCGAAGTTCAACGCACCTGGATGCATCTTGAGAGCATTTTCATGTCGTCCGAAGATATCCGAAAGCAGTTGCCAGTGGATGCTGCACGATTCGATCGCATCGACACGGAATTTAAAGAGATGACGGAGGAGATGGCGAAAACGCCGAATGTCGTCGAGGCGACGAATAAGGACGGACTTGTATCCGCTCTAGACGTTTTGCAAAAAGAACTCGTATTATGTGAAAAAGCTTTAGCGGAATATCTAGAAACGAAACGTCTCGCTTTCCCGCGATTCTACTTCGTCTCTTCTAGCGATTTGCTAGATATACTCTCGAACGGAAATCAACCGGAAATAGTGGCGAAACACTTGACAAAATTATTCGATTCTATGGCGCGTCTGAATTTTGATGATAAAAATACTTCATTAAAACGTGTTTTAGGTAAACGATTAAATTATATGTATTATTATTATATTACTATTATTAAATAATATACAACATTAAACTTTTTTTCAAATTTGAGGCATGTTTGCTAAGGACGGCGAATACGTAGAATTCGCAAACTGCGAGATGATTTGCGAAGGACCCGTGGAAGCCTGGTTGAATCGTCTTCAGAGCGCTATGCGCGTATCAATTCGGCATTATTTCAGCGAAGCGGTAGTGGCGTACGAGGAGAAACCACGTGAGCAATGGCTATTTGATTATCCTGCTCAAGTATCTCTCTGCGGGACGCAAATCTGGTGGACCACCGAAGTAAATATAGCGTTCGCGCGTTTCGAGGAAGGATACGATAATTCTATCAAGGACTATCTGAAGAAACAGATCTCGCAGCTAAGTATTCTAATCACGCTGCTGATAGGTGAACTGACCAAGCAGGAGAGACAGAAGGTCATGACGATCTGTACGATCGATGTGCACTCAAGGGACGTCGTGACGAAATTGGTGCAATCGAAGGTCGAAAGTTCGCAGGCTTTTCAATGGCAAAGTCAGCTGCGGCATAGATGGGACGAGAAGAAAAAAGATTGCTTCGCAAATATTTGCGACGCGCAATTCAAATATTCTCACGAATATCTGGGTAATACTCCCAGGTTAGAATTTATCTTAGTGTTTCTTTTAATTTATTAGTTAGTGTTTCTTTTAATTTATTCGTTTATATGGAATAATAAATAATATTGCCTATATTTATGTGCAGATTGGTCATAACGCCATTAACAGATAGATGCTACATAACTTTGACGCAATCTCTGCATCTCGTTATGGGCGGTGGTCCGGCTGGACCAGCTGGGACTGGAAAAACCGAGACCACAAAAGATTTAGGCCGAGCTCTCGGCATAATGGTCTACGTGTTTAATTGTTCCGAGCAGATGGATTACAAGTCTTGCGGTAACATATACAAGGGATTAGCGCAAACTGGTGCATGGGGTTGTTTCGATGAATTTAACAGAATCACCGTCGAAGTGCTCTCGGTGGTCGCCGTGCAAGTGAAGTCGATACAGGATGCCATCAGAGACAAGAAGGAAACATTCAATTTCATGGGCGAGACGATAGCTCTCGAGCCAACCGTCGGCATATTTATCACTATGAATCCTGGTTATGCCGGCCGTACAGAATTGCCAGAGAACTTGAAAGCACTTTTTCGTCCCTGCGCCATGGTGGTGCCCGATTTTGAACTGATATGCGAAATTATGCTGGTAGCAGAGGGATTTCAAGATGCTAGAGTACTCGCAAGAAAATTCATCACTTTATACACGTTGTGTAAAGAACTGTTATCTAAGCAAGATCATTATGACTGGGGATTGAGAGCAATAAAATCAGTCTTGGTAGTCGCTGGTAGTTTGAAGAGGGGCGATCCCGGCAGACCGGAAGAAGAAGTATTAATGAGAGCTTTGAGAGACTTCAACATTCCTAAAGTAGTATCGGATGATCTACCAGTCTTCATGGGATTGATAGCTGATTTATTTCCAGCATTGGACGTTCCCAGAAAAAGAGATGTTGAATTCGAAAAGATGGTTAAACAAGCGGCTGCCGATTTGAGTCTGCAACCAGAAGATGGTTTCATCCTCAAAGTCGTACAACTCGAGGAGTTGTTAGAAGTAAGACATTCCGTCTTTATCGTAGGCATAGCTGGTTCCGGAAAAACTCAAGTGTGGAAGACATTATTCAAAACTTATCATAATATGAAGAGAAGGCCGATCTATAATGATCTCAATCCAAAGGCGGTGACAAATGACGAGCTCTTCGGCATCATTAATCCAGCAACGCGAGAATGGAAAGATGGCCTCTTCTCGGTTATCATGCGAGAACAGGCTAATCTGGGCGGCGAGAATCCGAAATGGATCCTCCTGGATGGCGACATCGATCCGATGTGGATTGAATCTCTGAATACTGTTATGGATGACAATAAAGTTTTGACATTAGCCAGCAACGAACGAATCGCGCTAACGCCGGCCATGAGATTACTCTTCGAAATCTCGAACTTGAGAACTGCTACACCTGCCACGGTCTCGCGAGCCGGGATTTTGTACATAAATCCGCAGGATTTAGGATGGAATCCGTACGTAACGAGCTGGGTCGAGAAGCGGCCGTTGCCGAATGAAAAATCGAATCTGGTCATGCTCTTCGACAAATATATTCCTACTTGTCTCGAGACTTTGAGAACTAGATTTAAAAAAGTAACACCCATAGCCGATATGGCGCACGTCGAGATGTTGTGTCATCTGCTTCATTGTCTTCTGAAACCGGAGCTGACGAGCGGCGATTTCTACAAAGATCACTATGAACTTTATTTCGTGTTCGCCGCTGTTTGGGCCTTCGGCTCCTCCATGTTTCAAGATCAAACTATGGATTATCGAGTGGAGTTTACTAAGTGGTGGGTCAACGAATTCAAACAGGTGAAATTTCCATCGCAAGGTACGGTATTTGATTATTACATCGACAACGAGACGAAGAGTTTCGTTCCCTGGACGAACCGTCTTCCAAAGTTCGAGCTGGATATGGAGACACCTTTACAAGCTGTTTTGGTTTACACGTCAGAATCTATTAGAATAAGATATTTTCTAGATCTGTTGATGCCGGAAAAGCATCCTATAATGTTGGTCGGTACGGCTGGTTGTGGCAAGACCGTCCTAATTGCCGAGAAGCTTTTACAGCTTTCTGAAAATTACGCGGTCGCCAACGTACCGTTTAATTTCTATACCTCGTCCGAAATGCTACAAAAAATTATGGAGAAATCATTGGAGAAGAAAGCAGGCAGAAATTATGGTCCACCGGGAAATAAAACTCTAGTATACTTCATCGATGACATGAATATGCCGGAAGTGGATCCGTATGGCACCGTCCAGCCTCACACATTAATTAGACAGCACTTAGATTACGGTCATTGGTACGATCGTACGAAATTAACTTTGAAGGACATCCACAATTGTCAATATGTCAGCTGCATGAATCCGACTGCTGGATCGTTTACGATTAATCCAAGATTGCAAAGACACTTTGCTGTATTTGCCGTTAGTTTTCCGAACATAGACTCTTTAACAACTATATATTCCTCCATTCTGTCGCAACATCTTGCAAATGTAGAGCATAGGTAATAAATAAATGAAAATATAAATAACAAATATTAAAATTCTTTACATATTAATATCTGCAATATAATAAAAGTTTACCGAATAATCTTTAAAAAAGAATTATTTTCTACATATAATATTAATTAATGATAATAATATTATTTAGGTTTCCTCTAAGTGTCACCGAATTATGTCCAAATATCGTACAAGCCAGCATCCAACTGCATCACCGCTGTAGTCAGATGTTTCTGCCAACAGCGGTAAAGTTTCATTATATCTTCAATCTTCGCGAACTTTCCAATTGTTTTCAAGGTTTACTATTCAGTGGCAATGAATGCTTGCAATCTGCGGTGGATTTAATTCGACTCTGGATGCACGAGACTCAACGTGTCTATGGAGACAAGCTAACAGATGAAAAAGATATCGAAAGTTTTTTGAAACTACAATTAGATATTCTGAAAAAAAATGTAGAGGAGGTGGACGAAGGCTCAATTCTGGAAAAACCCAACATTTATTGCCATTTTGCAGGTAAATCACCATACTTGTTAATTTTTTTGTTAACATGTTTTGAAAAATAATATCTGACTTTAATTTTTCGATAAGATATGTAAGAATAAATATTTACATTGTATTATTAAATAAAAGTTATATAAAAATATGTGACTTAATAAAATATAAAATTATATAAAAATATATAATTTTTCGGATATTAATAAAAAAAATTATACGATATTTAGGTGGTGTCGGAGAGCCAAAATACATGGCTGTTAAAGATTGGATGACTTTACATCGGTTATTGTCTGAAGCAATGGTCAGTTATAACGATTTAGTGGCGGCTATGAATCTGGTACTTTTCGAGGATGCCATGATGCACGTATGTCGCGTAAATAGAATTCTAGAATCACCCAGAGGCAGTGCACTTTTAGTTGGTGTGGGTGGTTCCGGCAAACAGAGTCTTTCACGATTAGCAGCTTTTATAAGCTCATTGGAGGTTTTCCAAATTCAACTGAAGAAGGGCTACGGTGTAACAGATTTGAAGATGGAACTCGCTGTCCTATACTCGAAAGCAGGCTTGAAGAATATCGGTATTATGTTCTTAGTGACAGACGCACAAGTACCGAACGAACAATTCTTAGTACTTATCAACGACATGCTCGCATCGGGAGAAGTTCCCGATTTATTTGCCGAAGACGAGGTGGAGAATATAATTGCAGGTTTGTTGCGAAAACAATCTTGACAAGTTAGGCTAACTTAATTAAAATATAAAATATCATCTAACAATATATTCTTATAAAAATATTTCTAATAAATATATGGCGAGTACAAATATTAGTGGATCATATTAAAATCTAAATATATTTTATATTAAAATAATTGACACAGGAGTTCGTAACGAAGTGAAAGGCGCAGGTATATTGGACACGCGTGAAAATTGTTGGAAATTCTTCATCGATCGCGTTCGCCGACAGCTCAGAATAGTATTATGCTTTTCTCCGGTCGGTTCTACATTACGAGTTAGATCCAGAAAATTTCCGGCAATCATAAATTGTACGATGATCAATTGGTTTCATGAATGGCCTCAAGAGGCATTAATGTCTGTATCGAAAAGATTTCTACAGGAATTAGAAGAGCTGCCAGAAACTTATAGGTAAATATTTAATTATTACAAAGAAAAACAATATAACAAAAACAAAATATATATATTAAGAATTATAAACATAAACAAAATATATATATTAAGAAAAGCATCTTTGACAGAGAATCAGCTGCCAAGTTTATGGCTCATGCACACACTAGCGTAAATATAGCCAGTCGTCATTATTTGAGTAGCGAACGTCGTTACAATTACACGACTCCAAAATCTTTTCTGGAACAAATAAGTTTATATACCAGATTGTTAAAAACAAAAACCTCTGAGTTACGGGCTAGGGTGGCTAGATTGGAAAATGGCTTGGATAAATTGAGATCAACGGCAGTACAAGTGGATAAGTTGAAAAAGAAGTTGGCCGTACAAGAGGTAGAATTGCAGCAAAAGAACGAGGCTGCGGATGCTTTAATTGCTATAGTTGGTGTCGAGACGGAGAAAGTCCAAAAAGAAAAAGCGATAGGTTCAATATTATTAATATTACGATAAAATATACGATTCTTTGCATACATATATTATATATTTGACAAAATAAATTAGATTTGATTCAAAAAAGAGTATATTTTATTTAGCGGATGAGGAAGAATCTAAAGTGGCCATAATAGCCGATGAAGTTTTGAAGAAGCAAAAAGACTGCGAAGCAGATTTAACGAAGGCCGAACCTGCTTTGCTGGCTGCGCAAGAAGCTCTGAATACCTTGAACAAGGCAAATTTAACGGAATTAAAATCATTCGGTTCGCCTCCTGGCGCTGTAACGAACGTCACTGCTGCAGTCATGGTCCTTTTGGCACCAGCTGGCAAAGTACCTAAGGATCGAAGTTGGAAAGCTGCCAAGGTATTATTAAATCGACTGGAATGATTCGAGAAAATTTCTCTCTCGTCTTGCTTCCTTAAAATGATAAATACTAAGGTTATTTTATTTTTCATTTTTTTCCATAAAGATCGTAATGGCAAAAGTAGATACTTTTCTGGATGCCTTGATTAATTATGACAAAGAAAATATACATCCTGAAGTGATTAAAGCAATACAACCATATCTCAAGGATTCTGAATTCGAGCCTGAGTTTGTAAGATCTAAGTCAGCTGCCGCAGCGGGTTTATGCGCCTGGGTGATCAATATTATTAAATTTTACGAAGTCTTTTGCGATGTAGAACCAAAACGAAAGGCGCTCGCACATGCGAATGCAGAATTAGCTGCGGCTCAAGATAAACTTAGTGGTATCAAGCGAAAAGTAGTTGTAAGTGAACGATAACGAAAAACGTTTTTCTAATATTTATTTCAAAAAGTTATAACAAATTTTGCAAAAATGTATCTGTATTATATTTGCATGAAATTTTCCAAATTTTCCACATCTGTAATAATCTGAATAATCGATCTTCTCAGTCCTTGGAAGAACAGCTGGCGAAATTAACGGCGGACTTCGAGCAAGCAACATCCGAGAAATTAAAATGTCAACAGGAAGCCGATGCCACTAATTCAACAATCGCATTAGCGAATAGATTAGTCGGTGGTCTGGCATCTGAAAACGTTCGTTGGGCTGATTCTGTAGCCAGGTAAGATTTTAGAGCGTATATCACATCTCATTATGTCATATTAATGATTAATTAAATATTTTTAGTTTTATGCAACAAGCGTCGACGTTACCTGGCGATGTATTGTTGGTGACGGCTTTCATATCCTACGTCGGTTGCTTTACAAAACAATTCCGACAGGATTTATTGAACAAGCAATGGTTACCTTTCATACGTAGTGTTGAACCGACGATCCCAATTACCGAAGGCCTGGATCCTCTCTCATTGCTAACGGACGACACGCAAATTGCCAAATGGAATAACGAGGGTTTGCCGAATGATCGAATGTCGACAGAGAATGCTACAATATTGACAAACTCCGATCGTTGGCCCTTAATGATAGATCCGCAGGTACATGCATAAAAAAATTATCTAAAGATAAGTGCAATTTAATAAAAAAATTTGTACAGCTTCAGGGAATAAAATGGATTAAAGAAAAATACGGAGATGAGCTGAAAGTGATTAGATTAGGTCAACGTGGTTATTTGGACGTGATCGAATTATCCTTAGCGAACGGATCTACAGTCTTGTTGGAGAACATCGGAGAGACCGTAGATCCTGTTCTGGATCCTCTACTTGGCCGAAATTTAATCAAGAAGGGTCGAGCCATTAAGATTGGCGATAAAGAGGTGGAATACAATTCCATGTTCAGATTGCTGCTGCACACGAAGTTAGCTAATCCCCATTATAAACCGGAAATGCAGGCGCAAACCACGCTAATTAATTTTACGGTAACGAGGGATGGCTTGGAGGATCAATTACTTGCGGAAGTGGTTAAGGCAGAGAGACCAGATCTGGAGGAGCTGAAGGCAGAGCTTACTAGGCAACAGAATGATTTTAAGATTACTCTTAATAGTCTCGAAGACTCGCTTCTATCAAGGTATGAACAATACAAAAATTTATTTACAAACTATTTAAAATGTACTTATATAAGATTTATATATAAAAGATATGATAAATTATATTTACAAAATTTTTACACTATATATCCTATTTGCCATGTAAAAAAATATTTTCCAAAAATAGTTATAATATGTAAATGTGACACAGTAATATTTTAAATACTATTAAATCTAATAATAATACATTTTACTTTATCTAATTTGTAATTATTTGTAGATAATATTTGATCTAGTGGAGAAGAAAAAGAGAGCACTTTTAATACTTAAAAAAAACAAATATATATATATGATATATAATTACGATATTAATTGTTATATATATATATATATATATATATATATATATATATAATATATATTATATGCATAATAATTAGTTTAATTTTAATTATTTATGTTATCATTGTTTAGATTATCGTCAGCTGGCAGCAATGTTCTCGAAGATACATCTCTTGTAGAAAATTTAGAAACAACAAAGCGTACTGCCGCAGAGATCGAATCCAAGGTTACAGAGGCTCGAGGAACCAGTCGACAAATCGATGCAGCTCGAGAATTATATCGACCCGCGGCAGCAAGGGCCTCATTGTTATATTTTATTCTGAATGATCTGAATACCATTAATCCTATCTATCAATTTTCGTTGAAAGCCTTCAGCGTCGTCTTCCAGAAAGCAATTTTGAAGGCCGATCCCGCGCCTGATGTTACGGGAAGAGTGCAGAATCTAATTGAATGCATTACATATTCAGTCTTCATGTACACTAGCAGGGGACTTTTCGAGTGTGACAAACTAATCTTTGCCTCGCAAATGGCATTCCAAATTTTATTGGCGAGAAACGAAGTTACACCTAGCGAGTTGGACTTTCTCCTAAGATTTCCTATAACACCACACGTCACTTCGCCGGTCGATTTTCTCACCAATACTAGCTGGGGTGGCATAAGAAGCCTCGCTACGAGGGAAGAGTTTCGGTACGTAGGATGAGAAACTGTTATCCCATTGTCGAGCTTTACTTTCTCACTGTCTTGCTCGTTTGAAGGAATCTGGATCGGGACATCGAAAGTTCTGCCAAACGTTGGAAAAAGTTCGTGGAGTGTGAATGCCCGGAGCGTGAAAAGTTTCCTCAAGAGTGGAAAAATAAAACGGCTATACAACGTCTATGCATGCTGAGGGCTCTGAGACCAGACAGGATGACGTATGCCATTGCTGCGTTTATCGAGGAAAAGCTCGGTCCGAGATACATTGAGGCGAGAACTGTAGAATTTGCAAAATCCTTTGAGGAAACTAGTCCGAGTACTCCCATTTTTTTTATTCTATCGCCCGGAGTTAATCCGTTAAAGGTGACCATAAATATTTTTTTCTTATCGCTATTTTACGAATAATATTTTTTATGTAAAACAGTACCTTCAATAATTTTGTATGTATGTATATATGTGATATATATTGAAGTTTTTAAGTTTTTAAAAATACAATTTAAATGTTACAATATAGCAAGATTAATACAACAAATATTATATTAAAATACATTTTATAAAATATTAAAAGCAAAGATACATATATAATGAGACATAAAATGGAATATTAGGATGTTGAAGACTTAGGTCGACGCCTTGGCTTTACATCGGATAATCAAAACTTCCATAACGTATCCCTTGGTCAAGGACAAGAAACTGTGGCCGAGCAAGCTATGGATATAGCAGCTAAAAATGGTCACTGGGTGGTGCTACAAAATATACATTTAGTCAAGAAATGGCTTCCGCTATTAGAAAAAAAATTGGAAGTAGCCGCGGAAGGATCTCATTCCGATTACAGAATGTTTATGAGCGCAGAACCGGCTAGTACGCCAGCCGGCCATATAATACCTCAAGTGAGAAAATGTTTTGCAATGTTAAATTATGCATAATTTAAACAAACATATAAATTTTAATAGTTTATTCGTAATATATATTTTATTCTAATAGATATGTTTTTAATAATTTTAGGGTATTCTGGAATCGTCAATTAAGATTACAAATGAGCCACCTACTGGTATGCAAGCTAATTTGCATAAAGCTCTAGACAATTTTACTCAAGAAACTTTAGAAATGTGCTCCAAAGAAGCTGAGTTCAAAGCGATTTTATTTTCTTTGTGCTATTTCCACGCTGTCGTCGCGGAGCGTCGTAAATTCGGACCTCAGGGTTGGAATAAAATATATCCCTTCAATGTAGGAGATCTGAACATCAGTGTCAGTGTTCTGTACAATTATTTGGAAGCAAGTCAAAAAGTGCCTTGGGAAGATTTAAGGTGATTATATTAAATATAAGATGATTATATTATATTTAATAATTACATTAATGTGAAAATAAAGAATAAATGCAAAAAAATCGTGCAAAATTAATTAAATATCACTCGCAATTAAAAGTATAATTGAATTAAAAATAAAGTCAAAATATAAAAAAACATTTAGTAATATACTACATCTTCTCAAAAAGGTATCTCTTTGGAGAAATTATGTATGGTGGCCATATAACAGATGACTGGGACAGACGACTTTGCGTATCCTATCTTGAAGAATTAATGCAGCCTGATTTGATCGATGGAGAACTGCAATTGGCGCCGGGTAATGCACGAATTCGTTTCGAAATTAAATAAGAATTCGATGTTTTCTGTGAATATCATTGTTTTCTTGTATTTCAAGGTTTTTCCGCACCTCCTAATACAGATTTAGTTGGTTATCATACATACATCGACGAAGCTATACCGCCGGAATCTCCATATTTATATGGGTTACATCCGAATGCGGAAATTGGTTTTCTGACAATGACGGCTGAGAATTTATTCAAAACAGTCTTTGAAATGCAACCCCGGGACACTGGCAGCTCGGGAGGGCAAGCCGTTACCAGAGAGGAGAAGGTTATCGTATTAAAATACAATAAAATAAATAAATTAGAAATATGATAAAATAAATGACTTTCTTGTTATTTTATTTTGCAGGTGAAACAGGTATTAGACGAGATAATAGAAAAATTACCCGAGGAATTCAACATGACGGAAATAATGGGAAAGGTAGAGGAACGAACACCTTACGTGATCGTTGCATTTCAAGAATGCGAGAGGATGAATTTCTTGACGACGGAGATTAAACGATCACTGCGCGAGCTGGATTTGGGTCTTAAGGGCGAACTTACCATAACATCAGACATGGAAGATTTGGAGAACGCGCTGTTCTTCGATCAAGTTCCTCCAGTTTGGGCCAGCAGGGCTTATCCGTCTTTATCGGGCCTAACTGCCTGGTTCGTCGACCTGCTACTGAGAATCAGAGAGCTGGAGACGTGGTCTACGGATTTCGTTGTGTGTATATAAAGATAGAGAAAGACGATAATCCACGTTCCTAGAATAACACTAACACGTGAAAAATATATTAATATTTTTCTAGTTACCCGCATCCGTGTGGCTTGCCGGCTTTTTTAATCCTCAATCGTTACTCACCGCCATCATGCAATCGACGGCGAGAAGGCACGAGTTACCACTCGATAAAATGTGCCTCCAGTGCGACGTGACCAAAAAGAACAAGGAGGAGTTCACGTGAGTAGGAAAGATAATTAGACGGAAGTTGAAGTTTCGCGATACGCGTGCTCGTGAGGGCAGAATAGTTATCAGTCGTTAACTTAATTCGTTGTACATCGTGCTGAGGAGTGACTTCCTTCCCGATTCGTTCGTGCTAGGTCGGCTCCGAGGGACGGCGCCTACGTTCACGGAATATTTATGGAAGGCGCACGATGGGACGTCCAAACGGGAATCATCGTCGACTCCAGGCATAAAGAATTATATCCAGCGATTCCCGTGATTAATGTACGCGCGATCACGCAGGATAAACAGGATTTGAGGAACATGTACGAGTGTCCGGTATATAAGACACGTATGCGAGGTCCGACATATGTATGGACGTTCAATTTGAAAACCAAAGACAAACCGGCTAAGTGGACGTTAGCCGGTGTTGCTCTCTTGTTGCAAACCTAAAAAGAATAATCGTTGTTAGTTTAACTAATAGAATTGCTTGAATAATAAACACAGACAAGTTGACAGCGTAGTTGTACCTGATCGTAAATAAGATATGTTGTTAACTATTTCTTTGTAGAATATTTTTGCACTTGATTTTTGCTATACAAATATCATGGTATTTTTATCTTTTCTCTATTATATAATTTTTCAAATAATTGATCATAAAATTATTAACTAAAATTAACATATAATTGCATTTATTTATCTTTATCAATTCTCGATTATATTAATTTTGAAAAGAAATAGTTAATATTTGCAATGAAATTATATTCTATAAATCCAACAATATAAAAAGTATAAAAGAAAATATATGAAGTTGGTTATTAAGTCAATGTAAATTTGATTAGATTTGTATAGTACTTAAACACTTTAGAATTAAATGAAACCAGGCTCTAAATTGGAAGAATAATCTATGTATTCCCATTTCAACAGAATAAAAAGAATATCTCTATTAAAACTAGTATTACATATTTTATATACAAATTAATCGTTTAGATATCGTTTAGATTATCACTTTGATACATAAAATTAATATAAATTTGTTCCTTACAATTTCAAAATGATACATTTTGCGCGAAACAGATCCGCAATTATGGCACATAAAGAAGAGAACGATTCGACAGCAAATCTCAAAGGGTCGATCGAAGGTGGGATTCGAGGTCGACTAATCGACCGAGAGTTAATAAAACGTAGGAGGAGAAACGATGCGAGGTCTCCAAGGAGTATATCCGGCCCGTTTCACGAACCGGCGCTCAGTTTTCCGTAACAGAGAAAAAGGAGAAATTATCCGTCATTCGTCGAAATGGGAGTCCTCCCTGAAGACGACGGAGATCAATACCCGTATTCCGGAGTAAACAAAAGCCGATGCCTATCTCGCTACAAAGTGTCGGCCAATTTAATTTAGTGCCGATTCCCGAGACACGAAGAGAAAAAAAAGATACGAGACACATCCGCGTAGAGAACACAAAGGTTTTTGTATCATCGTTCGATCACGCGTATCAAAATTATATTGCGTTAGAGAATAAATTAAATTTTCGCTTCAATTCGCGTCTTTGAAGTAGAATAGTTCTCATAGAATGGAAAGTTTATTAAATATATCAAGAGAGAATATTTGAAATCACTTAGCTTTTTTGTTCTCAAGATTTTTTACAAACTTGTAAAGTAAAGCAATTAAAATTTACACGATAAGGTAAAAGATTTCTGTTAAAATAATTAAATCGTAAATAAGTTAAAAAAATATTCACACGGTTTTTGAATTTTTTATATATCTGTATTTCATTAAATCATATCTCTCAGTGAGAAAAAATTGTGCAATGTCCAGATTCAATTTCACGCACATCTTAATAAATTGAAATAGAAGGAATATAAGGAAAATTCGATTCTAAAATTGATTTATACATCGACTCAAACAATTTTTTTTTTTCATTTCACCTCGGCAATATTATTGTTATTTGCGTTTTGGTCATCCTAATGATTTGGACACACACAGCGACAAAAACTAATAGTACGATCTGTACAAAGTCAACTCATGAATCCCATCGGACGGAAAGGGGGAAAAAAAATTATCGTCCCTTTGACGGCTCCTAGTGATTGGCTCTTGGACACCCTCTCCGTGATACGTGGCGGATCGATCGGCATTCGTGCACCGGCTTCAATCACGGTTTTCATTAAGCCGCACTGGACGGTTGTGAAGGGTAAGAGCGGCTCGAATAGCTGATGTTTCGCGTGTCAGGCGGAACGAGTCGAAGCTTCTGGCTTCAGGACTTGTGTTTTTGATACGAACTTCGAAAGAAACTTCGATATCTAATTGGACATCAGCTACTCGTTAGACGATGTCTTGAAAATTACTTCGTTACTTAAGAGAGAGCAAAATAGAAAGAGAGGAATGAGATCTTCTGAAATCTTATCGAAATTTATTTCAGAATATATGAGAAACGATAAATATTTAGATTAGAATAGCCAATCAAATCATCTTGACTAATTACCGAAAAATTTTAACCATCGTTTATTATTTATTGTAAAATTGTAAAGAAAAAAAGTTTTACAAATTACATATAATTTTTGATTATTATTTAATAGAATATATTTTTATTAGATTCATGTATATAGTTAATAGAATGGATAAAGAGAAAAGAGCCCTGTTCCCTGTACTTATTCTCTCGAAAAATCTTAATTTAATCTAACTCTTTTCTGAGAGACAAAAGAGAAGGCACTTTTCATTCACGCGATTAAATTATCAAGAAATATAAATGCATTATACAAATGTTCTGAATATCAAAACGAACAATTTATTTAATAAAAGAGTACAAAATTAGTTCTTCATTTTTTCTAATTAATATTTAAATCATTTATATAAATAAAATTATGCAGCAATTAGTTTTTTCAGTACAATAATAAATTAGCAATAATTTAAAATTATTTCTTTGCTAAATAAATATTCGATATAATTATTAGTTAGCGCTATATAAAAACAATTAGTATTTAGTATTTATCAATTTAGCAATTTGTCTTTTTTTCCTCTTTCTCCTCCTTCTTTTCCTCCTTTTTTGATAGTTACTGATCTGGATAATGATATATTACTTAACAAGCAAGTTAATTAGTATTAGTCATCAACTTTTAATATTGTTATAATAAATGTATTATGTTAGATAGTTCATTAATATATTAATAAATTTAATAAATAGATTGTTAAATGATTGTAAAATAAAAGACAAACAAGATTAATAAATGCTATAAATGTTATAAATGCACTCAAATGAATATTCAAATGAATTTTTAGCGCACTGAAATTATTAGTAAAAAATATCTTGAACAGCATAACGAATCCGATAAGAACTAGTTAACGGAGATCCTTGACGTAAGAGGTTTCGAAAAGAATCAAATTCCACATTGACGAAGATTCTACACCAACAGGCAGTCTTTCCTTTCAAAGATCCCGACTTTCAATCTATTCGTAACCAGTTTCATTCAATAAAATCTCCATCATCATTAATGAGCGTGTTTAATGTTAGGATTATGTACAATGGCACATTAACGGCGCGTCTGCAATTGCGAGAACATTAATGAAAGTTCATTAGTGTGATAAATCGTTGTCAATATGACGTGTCCCTTTTATTTTTATGAAACGATCATATTGATAGTCAAATTGATTGGAAATAAAAAAATCAATAATTTTCCATCCGGTATATTCTGTAACAAAAACTATGATAAGTAAATTTTATATTGTGTCATTCTGTGATTTTATAGATTTGTATCATTGAAAAATTTAAAACAAAATATTGGAAAAAGCTAATTGCACAATTTTTGTAATGCTAAGCATTTTTTCTCTCTTTACTTATATAAAAATAATTACAAATTTAAAAAAAAAATAAATAGATAAATAAATAAATTTCAATTAAATTTTATATGACATTTGTTTATATAAAACATTTTAATCAAAGACTTAAATTTGTATAAATAACAAGTTTATTTAAGATATATAACATCAAAAAATGTTTGCATATAATTGGTATAAACTTATTTTATTATTCGTTATTATTGTGAATTATTATAATAAGTAACAAAAATATAAAATTAAAAAATAATGGTTTCGTCTTTCCTTTTCATTATAATATAATAAGAAATACATACGCAAAGAGAGTATATAATAACTTTGTATATTACATTATACGAGCGTGAGTATTTGTTTGAAAGTTTGCCTACTTTGTTTATTCAATACAAAAATTTCACAATAGTATTGTTTAGGATCACACCGTCCTGTGCACGAAGGGGAGTTAATGGTTCCTTTGTTTCGTCCGGGCGACTTCCATTTTTCATCGGCATGAGTGCGGCTGGGACCGTCATTCTTCTTTAATCGGGTTAATCATTTTTGAAGGACCGACCACAGGTGCGTCATACTCCTTGTGACCGTGATATTAAAGAACGTCAGGCATTCGTAGACCGCGTTTCCCGGCTAGAATTAAATTTCTCAGACGAGGGAAAGCCAGGTTAGACAGTCGCTCCGCTCGCAGAGGAATAATGAAACGCCACGAAAGCTGTCGCGCAATTTGTTTTGCATAAGGATGACATTTTTCACTTCGTAGAAAAATGGCCTGATGTTTAGCTCCTAAATGTCCCTCGGAGATTTGTATTATACGTCTTAATTCTAAGACAAATGATATGTTCCAAATACATTTCTGCATTATCGCACGTTTCTCTTTTAAGCCTCATCTTCCTCGAGTAAGAATAGACTCCGGAAAAATGCACGAAAGTTGATTGTATATAAAAAATAATTTAAAAGAAAATTGTATCTTGTTCGTGTCAAAACCGTAATGAAAATGCTTGCCGCACAAAGGTAAATAAATTATATTTTATTATGATATATAGTCTAAAAATATTTTCATTTATCCCATTTTAAATGGCATTATTTGAAGCAATTATCATCTAAAATAAGTCCCGATAAAAATTCTTCACATACGATCAGAGGTACACTCGACACGTTGAAACAGCCACACGTGTCAGATATAATTCTTCGTTTCAGCTTCTATAAATCTTCTCGTTAACGTTTTTTGCCAACAGGACGTATACACGGAATGTATCTCATTCAAGGACGCGCAATATCGCACACGTTCCTCTTTCAAGCATCATCTTTTTCAAGTAAAAATAGACTGCGGAAAAATTCACAAAAGTTGATTATGTATAAAAAGAAGGATTATATAATCTCGTTCATGTAGGAAATATTGATCTAGCTACATGATATGGCAACGTGCCTGTATATCAAGGATATTAATTAAACATTTGCGAAGGGCAGGTTTGAACAGTAGATAGGTAGGTGGATCGTGGATGGCCGACATACCTAACTGGAGAGACCTTTGAGCACCGACTTCGGCTCGGGAGATCTGTAAACCAATTAGTAACGCCTCGTCGATACGAAGGGCTAAGTCGTGCTAACCGGATCGTTCGGTTAAACTGCTTACTTGATTACAACGTTAGTTAGTGTCACTGTAGTCGCCCGTCGACGTGATACCCCTAAATTCCGATCACGTAGAGAACCGCCAATTTTTGGCGCTTGGGAACGTTTCGGCTGTCA